CAGAGGCGTACGCACAGATTAACGGATCAACACACGGACGCTTTCCGGATGCATGGACAGACGCACGGACGGACGGGAGCGCGGGTGGACTGAGGCGCGGATGGACTGATGGACGGAAGCGCGGACAAACTGGCCGACGCTTCGCTCCATTCATCTTCATTCAGTCTGTAGATATGCTGTGAATTTTAGGGCGTGAAGCTCCTTGTAGCGGCACCCATTCGTCCCTCGTAGCCGGTGTAGTGTGTAACAAGTATAACATTTTGTTCCCAAGGTGGTGCCGGTGAGAGATTTCTTCTGTGCGTTGAACAATAAAAGATAGTGCTCAATGTACATACCAATGGCTGCTAATGGGGAACGAGAGACAGGAGTACTCGGCTTTTAGTAACGCGCACGCTGCGATCCTCATTAGCAGCCATTGGCATGTACATTGAGCACTATCTGACAAGAAAGGGTTGCTACGTTATACATGCTGGGTGTAACTTCCTTAGCTTTAGAAAGGCTTAGCGAGCGTTGAGCCGCAGTGCCATGAATACATTGAACTAGTATATACCATGAACTCGAGGTGGTTAAAGGTGGGAAGTAGACCCCAAGCGCAAGCCATAAAAAAGTAAAAGCCGAATTCTCCTGTCTCTCATTTCCCATTAGCAGCCATTAGCATGTACATTGAGCACTATCTGACAGGAAAAGGTTGCTACGTTATAAACGCTGGGCGTAACCTCCTTGGTTTTAGAAAGGTTTAGCGAGCGTTGGGCCGCAGTGCCATGAATACAGCGAACTAGTATATAGCATGAACTCGATGTGGTTAAAGGTGGGAAGTAGACCCGAAGCGCAAGCCGTAAGAAAGTGTGCGTGTGCCACCTCTTGTTTAGTCCTTGGAATGTCCGCTGGATGGCGGTGCTTCTATGTGGGGAATATATGATGAAAAGATGCAAGATGGTGGTACTTGGAGTGTTGAATAGATGGACGAACGGACACACAGACAGATGCATGGATGGATGCATGAACGGACGCAGGGGCGGGTGCACGGACGAACGCAGGGACGAACGCACGAACAGACGCACGCATGGATGGGCGGATGGACGCATGGACGGTCACACAGATGGACGCATGGACGGACGGAAGCAAGAACGAATGCAAGGACGAATGCTTTGCCCCTCTCTCCATCATTCACTCCCTGGATATGCTGCCATTTTTCTATTTGGGGGTACAACGCTTGTAACCTTGAAACCATCTATATTCTCAGTCCGCGCAGGCGCTTCTCCTCAAACATGGACTGTCTCTCACAGACGCCGGTGCACGTTCTCTGCTGGGCACATGGACACCTCTTGCGTTCCTGCAGGTCGCGAACCGCGTTTAGACGGTATGCCGATGAGCATTTCTTACGCTCACCAATCGTAACTGCATTGCCAATCATAATCATAATTGCATTGCCACTCATATAATGGTAAATTCCCTTCCCAAGATTGGTGTTGCTGGGGGAGATGTGGTTGGCTGTTTCAAACACCCTCTCTCCCAAAATGTTTGCATGTTGCTTGTGAATATATGCAGGCACACATACAAGCACGTGCACGAGCGTACATATATTATAATTGATCTCAGCCCTCCCCCCCCCCCCTCTAGAAAATAAATATTCTAGCTTGACCCCGGCTTCCTGTGTGTTCCGAATACTTTCTCAAAATGTGTTCTGCTTGAGTGTTTAACTTGAAATATTTATTTAGTCTACGCATGATGTTTCTGGAGTCTTCTTTCAATGGTCAATTTCATTGTTCTATGAGCCTGATATTTAAAGAAAAGCACAATGGGCACTAGTGGCACAAGGCTGAAATGAACAACGGAGCTATTTAGAGGCCGACTGAGTGCTTTGTAAGTTTTGCTAGTGATGTGAAGCTTTAGCTAGAGAAGCCAAGCTTTTGCTAGTCGTACTAACTCTGATTAGGCTCGACTATCAGCCGGTTCCGATCGGTTTCTTACACAACGCACCTGCAACGTGGTGATAGCGGGAACATATGTCGTGACTAGTCGTTAAGCGATGTTGGGATATTAGTCATATTTATGTGGCTCTTGGTAGAAACATGTTACGGGACCAGTTCTTACGTGACCTCATTCATGGGGCTAGCTGCTACATGATGGAATGTTTAGTCGAGTGACTAGTTATGTGGTGTTACGTTATGTTACGCGACTTTAGTCACGTCTCTAGCTGTTACGTGTTTTTAGTCACGTGGGCGGTTGTTAGGGAGCTTATCGCGAGATCATTTCACGTGACCAGCTTTTACCTTATGTAAGGTGGTTTTAGTATTGTGCAGGCCTTAGCTCACAGGTTGCGTACAGCGAAGGTTTCCAGCCAACTACTTAGACACCACTGGACGAGCTACCAAACATGGTTTATTTGATTCAGTTGCTAGTCCAGCGGTGTGTCATCTCCCCTTCTGTCTTCATCCAAGTTGGTTGAATCTTCTCGCTATGTGTTTTTAGTGACGTGACTAGTTTAGAAATGTTACGAGAGTTTCTTACCGTGACTAGTTATTGCGTAATATTTTGTGATTTAGTCCACGTGGCTTGATGTTACGTTGTTTTGTGGTCGCGTGATTACTTGTTACGGGATTTTAGTCCAGTGACTAGTTGTTACGAGATGTTACATTTTTCAGCCCCATGACTACTTGTTCCGTGATATGGGGATTTTGAGACACGTAACATACCAACAAATCATAATTATTGCTTTACACAGGGGGACAAATTGGGGCACGTGTCGTGGCAGTGATGCAGAAGAAAAGAACGAAGCGAGGGCGTGACGGTTCATTTCTCTTGCCCCAACCAGTGAAACAAAAAGCTTTGGCAGCTACCTTAAAAAAAGAAAACATCTTCGAGGACTCTTGAGCTTCGCTTTCAATAGTCGGACACGATACCGTGATTGGGACCTGTGAGTATAGCATTGTCAACTGCTAGCCGAGCTTTGGTTCTTGGTGTATGCCTAAACCATGGTGCGAGGGAACGAATGTCTGATCGTGCGGCGGGCGCACCGCACAGAGAACATAGGGCACGACGCTGAAGTTCCGGCCGACATGAAGTACACTGCAGCCGGTAGCCAAGCAGGAACTCTCTTTTATATACACAGGCATCACGATATATACATATGTACAACGCCCCCTAGGGGCCAGCCAACCGGTTCCAAAACCGTAACTGAAACTCCGACACCACAGTAACGTTGGCTGTTTAAAACTATCTTAGAATGACTTCGGCAAGTACACTTGAGAAATGCCAACTACGCCATAGTCCTTCTTTTTCCAAATGAACAAAATTTCCCCTACGTGTCTGTAAGGCTGCACATGTACCTATGCAGCTGTTCACTTTTTGGACGCTTTTGGTGCTGATGATGAATAAATGTTCCCGACTGCTCTGTAATGGGCACCAAGCCGTTGCGCAATTCACATGTTTTCTCGCGTGCCGTGGTATTACGTTTCTGTGGCGCAATACACGAATGAAGGAAGAAAGGAAGAAACAGGAAAGAACGGAGAGGCAGGGATGTTAACCAGTCTAGAAGGACCGGCATGCTACTCTTCACTGGGGACACGCATTAGGGAGCTTGAAAAATGGAAAGAGAGAGAGACAGGAGAGCACACGCACACACAGTCACACCTCACAGTCATCATAACACCATTAGTCTCTAATCGCCACTGCAAGTTTGTTGTCTTAAAGAAGTTTGAGGACTGCTTAGTCCCCCTTACCCGCGATGAACTCTGAGGACGACATTCCAGAATGGTTTCCGCCGTCATGGGTCTGCGATCTATGCGAGCCAGCGTGACTGCATGTGATTTCCTCGGTGCATTAGAAAGTGGTTAGAAAATGTGCTGTAGTGTCTCCTCTCTACTATAGTTATCACAGGAAGGGTTGTCAGCAATTTCGACACGAAATGAAAATGACTTTGTGGAAGCCCCTCTTAGCCATAAATGTCTATGCAGAGTGGCACCATTTCGGTGTAGTCCAGGTGGCGTCTGTTGGATGGAAAGTGTTCGGGCTGTAGTGGTGTTGATTCCGCAGTCTGCTTACTATTGTGTTTTTTCCCCAAAAGAAGTTTCAAACGGTGGCATGGTTCCGTGGTGAAACCCCTACTAAGACGCGCAGACAGCCTAGGCTCGATCCTCTGTCAAAGCAAATATTTTTATTATTTATTTCGCTTGCATCTATCTCGATTTTTTGCTCACGCACAGCGCCGATTTTTCGCTCACAACCCACGCGAGCCCACGCCGACGCCGGCATTAACACCGATGACGGAATATCTGCAAAACGAATTATTTAATGCTATCGCGTTAAAATACACACACGTAGGAGGGCACGCATAACACTTCACTACCAGTAATTGCTTGTGCTTGCGTGGTGGTAATAACAATAATTACTCCTCCTAAGACTGAAACTTGATCATTTTGAAGTTCAACTTTTATATGTCAGCCTTTCCGTGTTGTACATGCATGGTCATTCAACTCTAACGAACTCCCCATTCCAGGGGCCAAAATTAGATTGAATAGAAGGCTAATAAGTCATGGTGAAATCAATGTTCTGGGGCCATCAATATCAGCACGAAATCAGTTGAGTGGGGGCTCTCATAAATGATCGCTATCTATCTATCTATCTATCTATCTATCTATCTATCTATCTATCTATCTATCTATCTATCTATCTATCTATCTATCTATCTATCTATCTATCTATCTATCTATCTATCTATCTATCTATCTATCTATCTATCTATCTATCTATCTATCTATCTATCTATCTATCTATCTATCTATCTATCTATCTATCTTCTATCTATCTCTCTGTCTATCTCTCTGTCTATCTGTCTGTCTATCTGTCTGTCCTGTCTGTCTGTCTGTCTGTCTGTCTGTCTGTCTGTCTGTCTGTCTGTCTGTCTGTCTGTCTGTCTGTCTGTCTGTCTGTCCTGTCTGTCTAACCTTGTATGTATTTATGTATCAATGTTTAATGCAAAAGTATTATACTTTACGCAGGTTCCCGTCGTGGAGACTGAGCTATCGTCCGACCTCAACCAACGTCCAATCTTCACCGAAGAAGGCATTCAATGGATACCGCTAGGACAAGGAAATGAGGGCCGCTCCGCAGAAGAAAACGTTGCCCAACCGGCTCGGGTGCCAACTGCCCCTTCCGCCTCGGTGCCGCCCGAGACGGAAAGCAGCCGTGACATTGGTCGAGTGCTGAACGAAGTAGCTTTGTCGGATGACTCCTCGGCCGCTTCTTCACCTAATAGCGATGGCAGCTCGGGTGGCGCTGCAACCTCTGCCACCGACGCGTCGTCTTCGTCGGCTGCGATGGATCGACCGCCGTCTCCGTGGGAGTCCAAGACCCGCGGATGGGCCGACAGCCGCGAAGACTCGCTGAGGCTCGGTGCGTGCAATATATATATATGCTTCGATGGCAATATATGATAGAAGGCAAGATGGATTTAGTTGCTACGCATTGCTCCAAAAAGTAACGTGAAATAAGAATTGAAATAGAATAAACTTAGCAGTGAGTGCAATTATTTGAAATGCCACAGCATGGCATTCAACAAGAACGTGAAATATCTCCTCTGATATATTTGTGAGTACGACGCTCGAAACGGGACTTAACGTTTTGCGTGATGTTTTGTAGCCTTGCGTAGAAAATGAAATTAGTTTCAGCAAAAAAGAAATACCAATGCAACTATAACAAGTGGCATTAAAAACAAAACTGCACCATTTACAGCTGCGATTCGAACAAGGGCGTTTGGCTGGGAAGCGGTCATTTGACACGTTCACTATTTTGGGAGTTCTGCGCGCAAAATTTAAACGACTACACATTGCTGCCGATCGCTAGCCCCCAAATGGATCGACTCTGTTTGAGTACTCACTTTCTCTACATTGGTTTTGCGGCCGTTCCGAGCACTCCCCTGTCCTAGTACAGTATAGCTCGGCCGTTGAAAAATAAAAACAAAGAATGGTGGCTATCGGGCATCGTTTATCATCAATATAAGGCCGCACTTCTTTGCTTGCATTGTTTACTCACCATGGGAGCAAAACGAAAAACAACGACAAAATCAACCCGCCTACCTGCGCGAGCCAGTGGCTGATAGCATCGCGGCGGCCCCAGGTACGGCAAGCGGTGAACAGATCGAGCACGATTGCGAAAACTGGCCGACTGTCATAATGAGCTGCAGCCGCGACAGGCTAGATAGATGAGGGGCAACTGTCTGCGAGCTCGTCGGTCATGTGTACGGACCAGCACATCAGCATACGTAAGATCTCGTTGTTATTCCAACATTGCAGAGTGCTCCCATAAGGGTATAGCGTGAAGGCTGTTCGGCGCACCACTACGGGAAGCGGAATCTGCGAAATGCCCAGTATATCTGTTTACCGGATAACTGCACCACCTCGACTCCCTTTCCGAGAGAACAACTGCAGACAAAACTTTAGGAGCCAAGCTTTGATTGATATGTGAGGTTTTACGTCCCAAAACCGCCATATGATTATGAGAGACGCCGTAGTGGAGGGCTCCGGAAATTTCGACCACCCGGGGTTCTTTAACGTGCACCCAAATCTGAGCCCACGGGCCTACAACACTTCGGCCTCCATCGGAAATGCAGTCACCACAGCCGGGATTCAGACCCGCGACCTGCGGGTCAGCAGCCGAGTACCTTAACCACTAGACCACCGCGGCGGGGCAGGAGGAGCGGAGCTTCAAGCTCTCACTATGTCCGCCGACTCGTCGTTGTAGCATTTTACCGTCAGATGTGAAACACAGGCGTTTTATATACCGTACATAGAACGCTCATAGTGTGCATATAGGCTTAAAATATACTATAGTCTGTCCGAACGTCCGTCTGTGCATCCGTCCGCCTTTGTAAACTCCAAACTGTTATTTGGCGAACGCCTATTAGGACGGGGTCGGTCACAATGGAACGTGCTGCGCGCGTTTCGCTCTTGCATGGTTTGACATGATAAGAAAAGCAACGCTACTCAAGCAAAGCGTGAGTGCTGTAGATTCCGACGCGAGGCGCTTCCTAGGGCGCGTTCATAGGCGCCCCCCCCCCTCCTAGCGGCCACCTGGCAGCTTCGTAATTAAGGAGGTTAAACAATGGAGGTAATTATTTCAAATATCGTAAACATTTCGTAATCGTCCAAAGAGGTTCACTCCACCAACAGAATTCACTTCGTAGATCGGCTGCCTATTTTCCTTCTTTTTCTGTCTCACAATGATGCTCTATAGAGCAATGAAATGGCATTGCCGTGTGCTTAGAAAAAAAATCACCACCCAAGCAGTCCTTAGAAATGGTTAACTAGCGAAAGCTGAAGCATGCGGCCCCGGTGTTAAGCAGCGGGCTCAACCCGATGTGGCAATGAAGCCTTTCACAATTATTATTCACACGTTCGTGCTTTTTAATGAGGTTACACACACGTTTGGCTTGGGTTTTCCACAGTCGCATGACGCACATTGTGCCTCGCATGATCACGGTCATGGAGGAGTTAAGTGAGGGGTTTATTGCGTTTGGCAATGCGTTCGTCAGAGTGGTTCTTCTTGAACCACATGTGGCCATAGACATCACCGCCGAAGATGATGTGTCGCTGGAGAAAGTACTACTTAAAGGGGGCGTCCGACCCGGCGAACGCTCTCCCGCAATCATCACATTAGGGAGTTTCAGAATAGCGCACCGCGAGCCCTTGCGGTGTGGTCGCTGCCACTGCGCATGCTTCGTAACGCGAGTCGGCGTTCGTGTTCGCGGCCCGCCCGCAGAAAATTCGAAATAGCGTGCGGCGATCGTGGTCCGCGAGGCCCGCGAAGTGGTGTGTAGCTTCCGTGCATTTGCGTTTGCAGTCGGGGCAAAAGTCCCTAGACTTTTCTCTAGTGGGAGCAAAGGCTATTCTAAAACTCGCAAGGCGCCCGCAACTACAGCGATGCCCGCAACATCTGCAAACGTTAATAGGGAGTTTTAGAATAGCGCACCGCGAGCCCTTGCGGTGCGGTCGCTGCCACTGCGCATGCGTCGTAACCCGAGTCGCCGTTCGCGTTCGCGGACCGCCCGCAGAAAATTCGAAATTGCGTGCGGTAATGGCGGCCCGCATGTGGCCCGCAAGCGCTGGTTTCGAGGCTACGGGCGGTGATGGAGGCCCGCATGTGGCACGCAAGTTCTGGTTCAACACCTCCTCGATTTCCCGTGCCTTCCGGATGAGCGCGCAATGCTGGTCATCTATGGTGGCGCTGCCTACGTAGTGATAATTGTCTTTGTACTTGGCCTTTGAGATCGGCAATTTCGGCGTTTGCTACTAATTTTCGAGGATGCTTTGTTATAAAAAAAAGTTGCTTGCTGAATGACGGCGCCACTTACGTAAGGTTAATTATAATTACGTATACGCCTTTTAAAACTGTTTACATTATTTTTGTTGCATATAAGCTCTAAAATGTAAAAACCTATTTGAAGACACCCCCTACTTGAGTGGCGCCACCACTATAGTTCCGACCATAGAGTTTCTCAAAATTACTAGAGGGCACTCTGGCGCTGCGATCGTTCAGCTACCATGGGAATGATGGGTAGTACACACATTTGCCTAGTCTTCGTACTTGCGGGTGGAGAATTGTACTTGCGGCTTCGTTTAATACTATATTTCGATTTTGTTTTGAAAGAAATATTCAACCGTTTTGAGCTTCGCGACCCAATTCGTAAAGGTAATTCGAAAAAAAATAGGGCGGTGAAGCGCAATTGCTATCCATTTGCTGATTTTTGCTTCGTGAGAAAACAGCTTTAAGCCACACGAACACACACGGAGCCAAAAGCAGGCCAGAAGTATGAAGTTTAGACAAATGAGTGTACTACCTATCATTTCCATGCTCAAAGAAGCGCCGTGCGTTGCAGCTCCCGTAGACACTAGCGCCAGAGTTCCCTCTAGTGTATATTGGGAAACTCTATGGTTCCGACGACCGCCGCTTCCCAAATGACCGCCGATAATTCGGCAGGCACGAGAAATCCAGGAGGTGTTAACTGGTTTCGAGGCTACGGGGTCGCCGCGATCGTGCGTTGCGGATCGCAGCAGGGCAAACGCTATTATAAAGCTCCTATGGCGCCCGCTACGCCCGCAACGCCCGCAGCGCTTGCAAAGGGTATTCTAAAGCTCCCTGTTCTAAAACTTCCTATTGGCGCCGCAACGCCGCGCTGTTGCAAGCGTTTGACATCGCGAGATAGCTCGGCGGCGTGGTTTTCAGTATCCGCCCGACACCGGCGCTTCCATTCCTGTTTGTGATTTAGCGCTGCTCGGAAGGCAGCCGGATCACATGTACGCAGTTGCTGCCGCCACTCGGACTGCCCGGGCCTGTTTTTTGCCTGCCAGGATTGCGCCATCGGCCCGGCGAATTCGAGCTCTTTCACGTTTTTACTGTCGGAGCTCTTCTAGAGTAGTCCGTGGCATAGTCCCGACGTCAGCGCGGCCTACGTGTTAGTTCACGCCCAGATGGGCCCAAAGGAAGCTTTCTATACCATAGCGAACCCCACGTTCAAGGTTTCAGGAGAAACCGATGAGCACGTGCTCAGCACCACGGCTGCAACGGAATGGACGAGGTCACACACAACGCAGCCAATGAAGCGAGCATTAGGGTACGACGCTGCGAACGAAGTAACTGATAACACAGCCAATGGAGACCACTCGTGACACCACTGCCGGAGGGTTTTTTTGTTTCTCATAGCCATATACAGCTTTCGCTGTAAAGGAGGAGGAGGTAAAACTTTATTAGACCAAGGGATTTGGGCACTTACGTCCCAGGGTCCCCGCACGACCCCACTGCGCTATGCGTTCATGAGTTCATGCAGTTCCATGACGTGGGCGGCCCGGTCAGTGGCGATTTTCTGCTTGGCCGGGTCCGTCGAGCGCAGCAAGGTCTCCCATTCCTCCCATGTGGTCAGTGGCTCCGGGCCCCGCGGGGGAGGGTCCGCCGGGCATTGTTCCAGTTCGAGTAATTCGTACTCTACTATGGGAGGAGCAGCGAGCCGTTCTCATCTTCGGCATTGCGGAATGATGAAGGAAGGTGATTCTACGTAAAATGGAACAAAGCATGACTGGTGGATCTCTAAATGTCTTACAAATATATATATATATTGTTGCCTGATGATTGGAAAGAAGAGATCTTCAATTCGTTTTGCTTTAAAAATTGTTTTTCGAACCTCAGTAGATCACTAATAACGAATAGGTGGAGTGCCACGCTCACCTGCACTGCTGTTTCTTTTGAATTTGGGTAATAAATTACACAAGGTATATTTAAGCTACGTGACTCACATTTGTTTATTTAAATACAGGCGTACTTGCACTTACGATAAATCGATTCTTTGTGTAATGTAGGTTTTTTAAATAGAAAAAATTGCCCGCAGCTTCCCTCGGGGGAAC